AGAAAGGAATGACATTATTCTCTTATTAACATTAAAAAGATCCCATATTTATGGAGGGGTTCTCCAAGTGAGGGGATAGATTTGCCACAGGGAGTTTTTTTTTTTTTTTTTTGACAGGCAGAGTGGACAGTGAGAGAGAGAGACAGAGAGAAAGGTCTTCCTTTGCCGTTGGTTCACCCTCCAATGGCCGCCGCGGCCGGCGCACTGCAGCCAGTGCACCGCGCTGATCTGATGGCAGGAGCCAGGAGCCAGGTGCTTTTCCTGGTCTCCCATGGGGTGCAGGGCCCAAGCACCTGGGCCATCCTCCACTGCACTCCCTGGCCATAGCAGAGAGCTGGCCTGGAAGAGGGGCAACCGGGACAGAATCCGGCGCCCCAACCGGGACTAGAACCCGGTGTGCCGGCGCCGCAAGGTGGAGGATTAGCCTATTGAGCCACGGCGCCGGCCCAAGGAGTTGGTAGTTCTAAAGAGAGGGGAAAACTTGGATTAAGGCTCCAGACAAGAGAGTAGAGGAAAGCAGAGCTCAGATCATTTAGAGATTTAAAGGCCACCTTAAGGTATTTGAAGGCAGTAGGAACATTAAATATTTTTTAAATTTTTCTTTTTTAGGTTTTACAGGTTCAACACAGTTCATAGATATAGTTCTGAGAATATAATAATATTCCCTTTCTCTGCATTAAAGATTTTTAAACAGGAATTAACCTAAGCAGGCTTGCATTTTAGAAATCTCCCTTGCCTATAGGACAGAAAATGAATTGGAGGTGTCTCAAGAGCATGAGAGACTAGTTAAACTAAGTTAACAAAAGTAGCTGTCTAAATCAGTATCTTCTCTAGTTATTGGCCAGGTGTTTATCATTTTGCACAGATCTTTGATTTAGACACACTGTAAATTATTTCTCTGGCATTCTACCTCTTCTACTCTCAAGATTAGCTCTGGCTCCTTAAAACCCATGCCAGATAGTCCTAGACCTTCTTTCTCAGACAACTCAAATAAGACCATGATTTAAAAAAAAAAAATGCCTTAGAAATAAGAATGTGCAGACTTCATAGGATAGCAGTGGCATTTCTGCCTGAGAGAGCCTGAATAGGATAAATTACTCCTCTTGCCCTCATGGCCACATGCCAGAGCCACATTGATTAAAGAATACAAGGACCTTAGGTAGAGATTAACTCTCTTCAAAGATAACATTCATGGCCGGCGCCGCGGCTCACTAGGCTAATCCTCCGCCTTGCGGCGCCGGCACACCGGGTTCTAGTCCCGGTCGGGGTGCCGGATACTGTCCCGGTTGCCCCTCTTCCAGGCCAGCTCTCTGCTGTGGCCAGGGAGTGCAGTGGAGAATGGCCCAAGTGCTTGGGCCCTGCACCCCATGGGAGACCAGGATAAGTACCTGGTCCCCGCCATCGGATCAGCGCGGTGCGCAGGCCGCAGCAGCCATTGGAGGGCGAACCAATGGCAAAAAGGAAGACCTTTCTCTCTGTCTGTCTTTCTCACCGTCCACTCTGCCTGTCAAAGCACATAAAAGAAGAAAAGAAAAAAAAAACAAAACATTCAGTGTGGAATACTGGCTTTAATATTTAATTGCAAACACTTTCATGTCATTTTGACAACATAGTGGTAAGACAGAGTTTGTTTGCTAGCAACCACGATGTCAGGCTGTCTCTTGAGCCAGGCTGCCGTGAATGTCAGCAGGATTCTGTTGGACTGGGACTTGACAGAACCCTTTTGGTACAATGAACATTTGCAGAACATGTTCTAATTGGCAGAAAGAGGGAAGAGAAATCAAATTTTATTTTTAATAAGTTCATATGTGTTGGTTCCATTCAGTTTATTTGTATTGAACTACCATTTGCCTGAATTTAATTCATTTAGTACTTCAGGGAATATTGCTTTTGATCTGAAATTCCTCTCATTTGTGATAGACACTTTACCATTTCCAAAAGCCGAACAGAATTTTGTTCCAAAGTCTTCTTATTAAATGAGGGTTGATGTGTAAAGGAGGCAGAAAGGAAGTGTGAGTCTCTCTGCATGGGGAATGGATGAGAAAGGGATCTGGAGATGCTGAGTTCTAGTTCTGATTGTGTCTCCTTTGCTACCATGCTTTCCACACAGCCACTTCCCCACTATCTACACAAAAGTCCAAGGAGAAATGGATTCCAACCAGTATGCACAATGGGAAGAACAGAAAATGTCCTGTCATGTGGGAATGTAATGGCCAGTTACAGACCTTTCTGTCAGCTGGAATCTCCTTTTTTTCCCAAGTTGTTTGATATGAGATATTGTGCTTTGGGTCATGTCTTTTCCCTGTCCTGAATTCTCTTGTGTAGCTACCTTACTAATTAACAATAATAGCCATATATATCATTTACTGAACATTTATTATGTCCAAAGTGCTGTTTGTTCTAATTAATTCTCATGTAAAGCTTAGGGTTTAGTTTTCATGTCACTGGTCAAGTGAGGAAAAAAGTACTCAGATTAACTTGCCTTCCATGACGTAGCTAATAAGCAGTAGAACCAGAACTTGAATCTGGTTTGACTTCAGGGCTCGTGCCCTCAAGCACCTTTCAGATAGTCTCCAGTATACCAGCACACTTCTCTGTGTGAGCTGGTGTGAAAATCAAGAGGACTCACACTTAGTCCTCAGAGGATCACTTTGATCTTGTCCTTCTAACCTGGTGTTCTTACTTGCTTTGACAATGAATTGCTGCGGTCTCTATTTTCTGTAAATTGCTTCTTCTCTCCTTAGGCTCTGTCATTATGCAGGGATCTTCGATTCATCCTCATGCAGTATCCTCTGAGAGTCAGCAGTGGAAGAGATGCTCTCTGGGGAGCAGCAACCCAAGTTTCCTCTGACTCCACAGAATAACAGCCTGTTGCTTCTTCATCAAGTAACTTACTCCTCAGATCCATGATACGCAGTCATAGTGGCAGATTCTCAGAGGAGGGAAGGAGCAAAAGAACTAATATGTAGAGCATGGATAGCAACTGCTGTAGAGTCATCATTTAACAGGGTGTCTTTGAAGCCACAGTGATTTTTTTCCAAGTAAAAAAAGCAATTTACACTTTTGGCAGCAATTTTCTGTCTTCTCTGTGCTATTACAGGAGATCTTGTGTTTGCACCCTCACAGATTGGCTCCTTCTCTTCTGAAGCCTGCTGAGAAGTAATATGTATTTGAGGAGAGGAGGTGGCTGTAGGAACTGCTGGCGTGAAACCTATTGTGTGGTGGGAGGAAGTCAGAGAGAGAAAGACCCATAAACCCTTGTGCTCAAAGAAGGAGCAAGATCAGGACTAAATTTCAATTTGCTATTGAGGTTCTCTGAGATTTTTCTTTTTAACGAAGAGGAAAATGACTTTTTTAATAGTCAAAGTTATATGTGGAACTTCTGTAGAATTTCTCTTCCTCAAAGAGGGCTATTCCTCAGGCACAAGGCTACTGCTGAGATCAGCGTGACTCTGACCCACACTGAATCTGTTGATCAGACAGAAAGCATGCTGTGCAGGAGTCAGAGATGAAGGAGATCAGCCACCTCACTTCTATTCTTAGTTCTGCCTGTGACTGACTGCATGACCCTAGGCAAATCATTTAACCTCCTGTGAACCATAGCCTCATCCCTCTCTGCTCGCACTTCACCTAGTTTTGGGGACATAGTTTTGAGGAAGAATACAAAGCTTGTATCGAATACAAAGTGGAGGGGCTGATGTTGTGGTACAGTGGGTTAAACTGTTGCCGATGGTGCTGACATCCCATATGAGCACCAGTTCAAGTCCAGCTGCCTGCTAGGGAACTGGGAAGGCAGCAGAAGATAACGTGAGTGCCCGTGTTCCTGCCACCCACATAGGAGACCCAGCTGAAGTTCTTGCTGCTTTGCTTTGACCTGGCCCAGCTCTGGCCATTGCAGCCATTTGTGGAATGAACCAGGGGGTGGAAGATCTCTGTCTTTCTTTCCCTCTCTTTCTATAACTCTTTCAAATAAATAAATCTTTTTTAAAAATATGAAGTGGAAAGAATCTGCTTATAGATTCTGTAATTTGGTAGACTTATTTTTTTAGTCCTAATTTTGTTTCTTTAAATATTGTCTTACAGTTATATATATCCTTTTTTCTCCTCTAAACAAATCACCATATGTTCTTAGATACAGCATTTCTCTTTCTGACTAGCTAGGTTGTAGAGATAAAAGAGGACTAAGTTAGTGATACACTTTAGTTTATTTTGTCCTTTGATTACAAATTCATGGTTTGGTTATTTTGTTATCACCATTTGAGGAGACCCATCTGGAAGCCAAAGGAAATGAAGCTGATGCTTGTGACATGACATGGAACTGTCGGGGCTGTTTATTGTATAGAGTGGGGTTCCGACATCTAAGTTGGCCTTTAGCATAGAGAGGCTCTTAATGGCCACATTCTCCTCTTTAGGAGCATGAGCTGACTTTGTTTTGCCATCCTGGTGTGGATTGTTTGTCCCCTACTTTAGCCAAATAAAGGATAAACTTCTGTTACACCTTATACTGACAGTTTATATCAAAAGCAAGCCTCTTTGCTAAAGTACTTGGTTTTTAGAAGTTTTCCTGTGAGAGTCACAACTTTATTTTGTGTATGTTGGTATATTAACCAGGGAATCTACTCACATCTAGAATATTCAGCCAAGGTGCCTGTAGCTTATTGCATCTGCTCCCAACTGGAAGTGCTAAGAACAGCCCATATTCCATATTGCTGCCTGCTATTTCTGGCTCAATAATGCTAACAGTTGGGCCTGGTAGGAAGAGGCCTGGGTGTCACTTTGCATGCTGTGGTTCTGCTCTATTCCACTTTTGTTTGCCATCCAATGCAGTAGTTAATGATGTATGACAGGCTACTCTTGTTTATGTATTTGGTCTCAGAGTAACATTTTCTGCTAGGCACTCTGGTCCTTAAAGTTTCAGAAAGGAGAGATTACAGAGGAATTCTCACATTCATTTGTTCAGCAAATATCTTAGAGGTGCCTAATGTGTGATAGGCCTCAGAGATATGAAGGTGACTAAGATTTTTCCCTTGAATTTATAGATTTCAAAGTCTGATTTGAATGAGAGTTAAACCATTTTAATTTCATATTTAAGTACAGTATAAAATCATAAATTATTATAGAGAAGGATTTATTGAGTGACAACAATATGTGAGAAAATATTTTAAACATTTCCATATATCATTTATTTCTCACAACAGTCCTAATAAGTGGTTGTTAATATACTACCTTCATTTCTCATCCTAGATGAAAAGCTGAGTTGCAGAGAGGTTATACATTCATGAGACCACACAGCTAACAAGCAGTGGAGCCAGCATCCCAAGTCTAATAGTCTGACTCCAGAGTGTGAGCTCTTAACCATTGCACTGTAATAATACTCTAAAATAAATGTATTGGATATAGATTAGGATCCAAGTAATTCAAAAGAAAGAATCAGAACGTACAGCATTTCTTCTTCCTGTTGACAGTAGGTAGGGCTACTTTCTATTTTCTTACTTTTAGATGGAAAGGGTAGAGGGGCTGTCCAAACAGAGAGACCAGCACATAAAAAGACTCAGGAATGACCACACGTGCTATGTGGATGGTGAGTAATAACAGCACGATTGCCCTGTGGCAGGAACTAAGACTAAAACCTGGGTTGAGTCCAGCTTGCACAGGATCTTTTATGCCATGAGATGGTGAAAGGTTTGTATTGTTTCCGATTACACTTTACCTCTTGCCTGTATCATCTATGGAAAAAAAAAATGGAACCTTACGGGTTTCTTCCTCTAGGAAGATTTCATGTTTTATTATGGGTAAATTGTTTGCTTTCTTCATACCTCAGTTTCTCAACCACTTGCATCTTATTATACCCAAAGGGCAAATATGCTATGAAGCATTGAAAGTGTTCTGCTTTTGGAATTGCTCTTTTAAATGGAAAAGCCATCAGCTAAGCTAAGGTAGTTGTAAGAGGAAATTATTCATTTGATTTGTGTCCTATTCCTCCATTTTGACAGCTCCTACCTTCCTCTGATTTAGAAGTAAGTCTGAAAAGTAGTCACCCAGTTCCTTTTAAATTAATAGAGAAAGGCAGTTCTTAAGTATTAACATTTCCCAAATAAATGTAAAGGTATAGATGTTTTTACTTCAATTGATGTGTACAGTGCCATGTTGATACCCAAAGTATATCCAGTGCTAAAGTACATGGCTGCAGTCTAGTTCTCCTGTTCTTTGTCTTCATAGCCATTTTGGACTGGAATTAAGTAGAATATATTTTTAGGAGGCCACAAACTCCAGTATGTGTTTCAAGAATATCTAAATTTGATATCTTTGCTTATGCTCCCCTCACTAGCGGGCAGCCACAGCAAAATTGTTCATAGTGTCTTTCACTTTATTTTTTTTAACTTTTATTTAGCAAATATAAATTTCCAAAGTACAGCTTATGGATTACAATGGCTTTCCCCACTCCGATAACTTCCCTCCCGCCCACACCCCTCCCAACTCCAGCTCCCTCTCCCATTCCATTCACATCAAGATTCATTTTCAATTATCTTTTTATACAGAAGATCAATTTAGTATATATTAAGTAAAGATTTCAACAGTTTGCACCCACACAGAAACACAAGTGTAAAATACGGTTTGAGTACTAGTTATAGCATTAATTCCCATTGAACAACACATTAAGGACAGAGATCCTACATGAGGAGTGTTTTTCACTTTAGAAGAAACCTGCTGGTCTTAAGCATCTTCTCTCCACTTCCCAGTGAAAGGCAGGAAAGAGGCCAGTAATTCCTTTTCTCCAACAGTTTCCAAGGGTCTTTTCTTTTTCTCTAAGCTCTTTCTGGCTGAATGGCATTTGCCTCTTTTTCTAGAGACCTTCAGTGGGCATCTGTAACAGATGTTGGGAATACATGCTGGTGGATTTCTTTTTTTCAAGATAGTATGCTGTTGAAAGCAAATGAGTGCCGCTTTCCTTAAAATTAGGACTGTAAGGAGCTGGCTTCAGAATTTTCAGGAAGGAGACCAAAGGCTGAGATAAAGCTGAAGCACCATAAATGATGAGGTTTTGCCATAGGCCCGTGTTCCTGTGCCTGTTCTCGTTTGGACCTAGAACCTAAACGTGAGTTGTCTCAGGTTCCTAAAAGATACTTTTTTTCCACAAGCAGAAGTTTCAAGGAAGAAAATAACTACTTTGTTAGATGAAATGCCCCATCCTCAACTCCTGCTCCTGAGCACCACTACCAGTTGTACCCTGTAGGTTGCAATGAGGTTGTAAAATGAAAGGCATTTTGTTTCCTTGGTAAGTACATGTCCTTTACACTCTGGTTGCATCAATTCTATTTAAAGGAAGGTGAGATTGAACACGAGAAAAACAGTACAGACAAGGAGGAGCTGAAGAACTTTAGTGGGGTGAGGATGGGGAGGGTGGTGTTGTGACACAACAGATAAACGCTGCAGCCTGTGATGCCAGCCAGCATCCCATATGGGCTCCAGTTGGAGTCCTGGCTGTTCTACTTCTGATCCTGCTGCCTGCTAATGTCCTGGGAAAAACGCCTGTACCCACATGGAAAACTTGGATGAAGCTCCTGGCTCCTGGCCTTGGCCTGGCCCATTGCTTGCTCTCTCTCTGACTTATAAAATAAATCTTAAAAAACTCAACAGAATGAGGAAAAGAATAATTTTTCAGCTGTTCCTGGCTGCTGGATGCATCTTGGTCTAGTTGCTGTGGGGTGTTGTGACATTTTATCCCGCCCACATAGGTGCTGTCACTCAGACTAGGCTTAGCTAAAATAACTAGGCTGCCAAGTTTGCCCTAACTTTCAGAGTAGTCTAGGATTAATACTTAGCCAACAATAGCAGTGATACCTGTCTATGTATTGAACATTAAGTAAGAACTAGACCTACATATATTAACGTGTTTAAACAACTTCTGGGAAGTATAGTTATTCTAAGCTCTCTTCTGTGTGAAGAAGTTGATACTGTGGTCACACACCTAAGAAATAACAAGAATTAGAACTCAGATCTATCAGGATTAAAAGTCTATGCTTTCCCAGTCCCAAAAAGACAAATACCATAGGTTTTCCTTGATCCAAGATAACTAATAGAGTACCTACAATGTAATATATTGGAGTCAAAAGAACATTTTAAGATACAATGATTGTAGCCCCGTCTCTTCTGTTGAGGAACAGTGTTTTCTTCTTCATACTATTTTTTGAACTCTTTCACTTAGTGTAGGGTTAACTTTACAATCATAAAGTAAACTGAAAATACATCTTTGTAAAAATTAAGAGTAGGAATGGGAGAGGGAGGAAGAAGGGCCTTGGAGCATGGGCAGGAGGGAGAGTAGGGTGGGAAGTATCACTATGTTCCTAAATCGATATATATGAAATACATGAAGCTTGTATAGTTTAAATAAAATTTACAAAAAGAAAAAGTCTATGTTTTCAGCCATTGTAGTATACTTCATTGTAGTATACTTTGTAGTATGTATTCAGGATGGAATATTCATCTTCCAGTTTCTTGGCTGGGAATAAATGAAGCTCATGGATGCGATTGTAACAAAGCAGAATTGGCATTTAAATTTTTAAAAATTCGTTTGTTTGTGAGAGAGAGCACACCTAATTGCTGGTTTACTCCCTAAGAGCCCACTGGGGCCAAAGTTAGGAACTTAATCCAGGTCACCTATGTGAGTGGCAACAGCCCAGTTAGTTACTTGAGCCATTACTACTGCCTCTCAGGGTCTGCATTAGCAGGAAACTAGAATCAGGACTAAAGCTGAGTGTGGAAGCCATATACACTGATGTGGGACGTGGGTCTCTTAGTTAAGAGTATTTAACTGCTAGGCTAAACACCTGCCCCAGATTTGGCATTTTTATCAGATTTTTTTTTAATTTTCTCTGCTAAATGTCAAGAAGCAGTTTTTAGAAGAAGTGGAAGTGGGGTTTGCCAAGAAAATGCCTAAGGTAGAATGAACAGGAACTGCTCTCCCTAGACAGGTAAACATTAGTTTACTCCCTGGATTTGTGGAGCCAGTAACTGCCATTGCCTCTTTTGAAAGAGCCACTGTTCACCCAGTGGCAGGTGCAGGCCAACTGTTGCCATGGAAACAGCAGGAGAAGCAGTTTAATTCCAGAACTGATAATTAACTGGGGGTGGGGTGAGGAGGTGGGGAGAGAATTGGGGGGATAATTGTTGCAAGAGGGGAAACATAGCAATTACCAGCAAGCTGCATAGATGAAAAGTCCAAGCACAGATGCTCTGCCTCAGCATGCCCCTAATATTCAGTGCTCATCCCCTCTGGTTAGGAATTTTTGATAATCTAAAATGAAGGGTCAAGTCTCCCCAGCCAGCCAAGACTTTTTAAGGAACCCCATGAGGAAGGAGAAATGTTACAAAGACTATGAAAAGAAATGGAGAGAACCAGATGAATGGCTTCCCTAAGTGACACCACCCAGCCAGAAGCAACCCAGAAATGCTCTCTCAACTCCTCAGGAATAATTCATGCTTGGGGATAAAAAGGACTCACAAAGCATACTTTTTGTGAGTTTCTACTTCTGTGGATGCAGTAGGGGAGAGTGCCTCATTAGGAAGAAAATGAAAGGATGACTTGTAAAGGTGGTGACTTATTTAGGTAGTTGATTACCATGGCTGTTAGGCTTGCAACCCTTCAGAGATTGTATTAATGAAAGTAGCCAACCACTCACAGAAATTATTATCCCATTTAATCCTCAACATCTCAGGAAGAAGATGCTGTTGTTATTCTTACATCAGAACCAGAGATGTTCAATACTTTGACCAAGGTCTCAGCTAATAAGTCAATGTACAGAATCCAATTATCTTATTGGGTTGTATTTACAAAATACAGCCTTGCACTGTACAGAAAAATTGTAGTCCCAATTTAAAATAAAATTAGACTTAAGTAGATAGGAACAGCTTATAATAAAAAAGAAAATGTTTTTCTAATAAGGTAAGTGGCTTAGGGCAGGTAAGGCTTGGAAAAAGAGGTGACTTGATGGCATTGCAAAATGCAAAGAGACTGTCAGATTTCCTCTAATAATCCATTTTAACAAAACTTACATGATGTGTGTATTTTTCATGGGAAAAATGCCATACAGTATAGCAAGATCTCTCTCTACGTGTGTGCACATGTGTTTGCGTGAGGAAAAGAGGGAGGTAGGTCCTGCTTTAAAAGCCTCAGTGAGGGGAGAAACATAGCATTCATCGAACAGTATATATGGAACTTTGTACCAGTGTTTTCTTTGGTGTTAGGAATACAGTCGTGAACAAAACATTCAAGATTCCTTTCCACAGGGAGCTTACATTCTAGAATCTGAAGTAAGGGTTGAGGAATGCTAATGATGTGTGACTTAAAAGCACATTTTAAGGAGACTCATTAGTCCTTCTTTTAAAACCTGTTATAGAAAATCTTGCTGACATCATAAATAAGAGCGCCAATTGTTAAATCAACAACGGGAGTCACTGGGTACATGCTCCCCACGTAGGATCTCTGTCCTTAATGTGTTTTACTATGAAACTTAAAAACAACACTACTAGTCGAACAATACCCCATACCTTGTGCAGTTGTGTGGGTACAGCCTGTTGAAATCCTTGCTTAGTATATACTATGTTGATCTTCAGTATATGAAGGTAATTGAAAATGAAACTCAATGAAGGGCGGGATGGGAGAGGGAGTGGGAGAGGGGAGGGAGGGAGGTTGGGGGGGAAGCCACAACAATACAAAAGTTGCACTTTGTAAATTCACATTTATTAAATAAAAAAAACTATATAACAAACAAAAAGAAAAAAAAGAACTTAATACTTTACCCTTTTAGTATTTTTATGTTCTACTTAAAACTATTGGTTGAACTCTGTAATTAATACACAATTACTCTTAGGTGTTTATTAATTAATGCTATAATTAGTACTCAAATAGTATTTTACACTTTGTGTTTCTGTGTGGGTGCACACACAGGGTGTTGAAATCTTTACTTAATATATGCTAAATTGATCTTCTGTATATAAAGATAATTGAAAATTAATCTTAATGTGAATGGAAGGGGAGAGGGAGCTGGAGAGGGGAGTGTTGTGGGTGGGAGGGAAGTTATGGGGGGGGGATGCTATTGTAATCCATAAGCTGTACTTTGGAAATTTATGTTCATAAAAGAAAAGAAAAGAAAGTAAATCTTGTGGTGGCAGTGCTGTGCCACGGTAGGTTACTCCTCCGCCTGCAGTGCTGGCATCCCATATGGGCACTTGTTCGAGTCCCAGCTACTCCACTTCTGATCCAGCTCTCTGCTAATGGCCTAGGAAAGCAGTGGAAGATGACCCAAGTGCTTGGGCCCATGCACCTGCATGGGAGACCCGGAAGAAGCTCCTGGTTCCTGGCTTCTGATTGGCACAGCTCCGGACATGTCAGCCACTTGAGGAGTGAACCAGTGATGGAAGACCTTTCTCTATGTCTCTCCCCTCTCACTGTCTGTATCTCTGCCTCTCAAATAAATAAATAAAATTTATATATAAAAAAGAAAGTAAGCCTTATACAGTCTTGCTGGCTGATAGGAAAATATGCGGAAGACAGAATGAGACATCAGTATAGGTTGATCATCTTATATTCTTAAAAGTAAGTGCTTGCCTTCAATTTTCCAGAAGTTTGACAAACTCGTAAGTTAGTGTTGCTTTTGTGAGTGAAACAATATAAAAATTTGGGAGTTCAACTCACATAGTAATTATGCTGGAAAATGTAATTTTGCCTGTATAATAGAGATGGGATTATTTCAAGGTGATCTCATTAATGTGCTTTTCATCAACAAAAAGCAGTGTAACCTTTCTCTTACTAGATTAGTACAGGGTCATGATGCAAAAGGCTGTTGGGATGATTTTCAGTCTTTTGTTCTAAGAAAGTAAATTAACTACTGTCTAGAAGTCTAGATATGGAAATTTAAATAATTAAAGATAGAAAATATGTGGGCACTCATTCTGAAATCTCCATGAGTATTCTGTCACTTATGCAAGATCCATTTCTTTGTCCATTTATTTAACAGATGTTGTCAAATGTGTACTATATGCCAGGCAGCACTAGAGTTGGAACTATAGTAGAAAAAAAAACCACAGACAGTTCCTGTTTTTATGATGCCTGATGTATAGTGAATGATCTCTTCTCCCCATTTCAGGGACATACATTTGTTTTGTATCTGCTCAACTCTCTTCAGGCTTAAAGAACCAGCAGCCTACTAGAACAATGCATGTCACATGATGCTCTAAATGGGAAGCCCCCCAGTGCAGGGGTTCCCAGACATATTAGGCTGAATGCTAATTATTTGAGTTGTCAACTGATTTTTCTAAACCCAGGTTTCATGGTCCTGTAAAGCCAGGAAAAACCACCTATTTATGTACATGTACTACAGTAATGTACAGTAATTTACTTACATGTACTACTGTGTAACCAAGACTTTGAGCATCCCTGTGATAATGTTTACCTTATTTTTTTTTTCAAAAAGATTTACTTATCTGTTTGAAAGGCAGAATGACACACAGAGATCTTCCATCTGCTGATTCAGTCCCCAAATGCCAGGGGCTGTTTCTGCACCTCTGGAGCACTGAGTCAAGGTGAGAGGTTCCCAAACCAGACTTCCGATTCCCTGAGGATAGGAGAGTGGACCTTTGCCTTAAACCAGCCAATCAATGAACAGTTCTTTTATTGAGCTTTGACCAGGTTCTTGGGTTTGTGATAGGATGGAATCTTTGTCCACTAGTTCTGTACAACCAAGATGGAATGGTGAATGAGTGTCAGGTTATAATATATGAGATAACCAGAGAATTATATTTAAGTAAGAACCAATGTTTATTTCAAACTCTAACAGTTATAAGAGTTCTTCTAATTCTAAGGTGGCTTTGATATCAGAAGTTCCCAGCTACTTTGAATTTCAGCTTTTTTAAAAAAATTTATTGAGAGGTAGAGTTACAGACAGAGGGAGAGACGGAGAGAAAGATCTTCCATCTGCTGGTTCAATCCTTAAATGGCCACAATGGCCAGAGCTGGGTGAATCAGGAGTCAGGACTTCTTTTGGGTACCCCACGCAGGTGCAAGGGCCAATTACTTGGGCCATCTTCTGCTTTCCCAGGCCATAGAGAGCTGAATCGAAAGAGAAGCAGCCAGAACTAGAATGGTGCCTATATGGGATGCCAGCACTTGAATTATGGCTTTACCACCAACTGTGTAACCTTAGCCCCACTATTTAAACTCTCTAAGCCTTAGTTTTCCCTTCTGAAAATTGGAGATGATAGTATCAAAAGACAGTTGCAGGCCAGCGCCACGGCTCACTAGGCTAATCCTCCGCCTTGCGGCGCCGGCACATCGGGTTCTAGTCCTGGTCGGGGCGCTGGATTCTGTCCAGGTTGCCCCTCTTCCAGGCCAGCGCTCTGCTGTAGCCAGGGAAGTGCAGTAGAGGATGGCCCATGTCCTTGGGCCCTGCACCCCATGGGAGACCAGGAGAAGCACCTGGCTCCTGCCATCGGATTAGCGCGGTGCGCCGGCCGCAGCGCGGGGCTGCAGCGCACCAGCCGCGGCGGCCATTGGAGGGTGAACCAATGGCAAAGGAAGACCTTTGTCTCTCTCACTATCCACTCTGCCTGTCAAAAAAAAAAAAAAAAAGTTGCAATGAGGCCTGAGATGATTCATTTCTTCATTTAAAAAAAAAAAATGTTGCTTTCTTTGTGCCATGTGCTGTTCTAAGTGCATGGACCATGCAAATAGCCCTGTAATCTGATAGAAAACAGCGAATGCTTGTTTTCTCCCATACTATGTGTCCATGTCCATTAGCTTTAGCTTTGCTCCCTACTTCATTATAAGACCAAGACTAAAGGAAAGCCTCTGTGTGGGGTGTGCTGGCAAATGAAGAAAAGCAATGACAAAACCATGCAGCCTACCCCAGGAGGGCAGAGAATCATTGTTGGAGCAGAGTAAGAAATGATTTTAGGTGGGGAAAAGAAAAATCCTGAAGGCCCGCTTTATTAGAAAATTGTTCTGAAGTTTCAGACGCAAAAGTCTTGAAGTTCCACACTTGGATAAGAAATAAGAATAGGAGCAATGGGAAGAAAAGAGTAGGTGGAGGAAACAAAGAGTGGGAAAATATAGAGGACTTGGTGCATCAAGGAGAAGGATGGAGCTATGTCAAGATTCCAGGTGTACCTTTGGCACTACTTAGGTCAACTTACACAATCATTGAACCTCTCTGGGTCTGGGTTTGAACATTTGTAAAATGAGAATACCAAGTTTGATGTGAAACTTATGATTTCATCCAGCTGTATCACTGGCTCTAAAATTCCTGGGTTTTTGTTTTTGTTTTTGTTTTTGACAGAGTGGACAGAGAGAGAGAGAGAGAAAGGTCTTCCTTTTCCGTTGGTTCACCCTCCAATGGCCGCTGCGGCCGGTGCGCTGCGCTGATCTGAAGCCAGGAGCCAGGTGCTTCTCCTGGTCTCCCATGGGGTGCAGGGCCCAAGCACTTGGGCCATCCTCCACTGCACTCCCGGGCCACAGCAGAGAGCTTGACCTTCTGGAAGAGGAGCAACTGGGACAGAATCCGGCGCCCCGACTGGGACTAGAACCCGGTGTGCCGGCGCCACAGGCAGAGGATTAGCTGGCGCTGGCCTCCTGGGTTTTTATACTGGGAGACGACAGACCACTAGGAGGAGGAAGTTAGTTTGGAAAGAAAGATGTTACAACAACTCCATTTTGTATTTATCTGAACCCACTGAATTGTGCCTGTTCTGTTTTGTTGGTTTGTTTGTTGGTTTGTTTTTGTCTTTTCTCATAGCCCTCGGTTTCTCCTTGGCTGTGTTGTGAGTCTTAAAAAGAGACAAAATTTATTCTCTAACACCAGATCCTTGGAAACACATAGGACCTTGAGGTGCTGAGACTAATAGGGCCTTATGCACAATGTTTATAGAGTATCTTTGGTTATCTTGGCATCTTTGTATACTTCTACTAGCACATTTCTCTGTCTGAAAATACCTTCACAAGTATCAGAAGTCTATTTTGGGGGGGAAACCTTATTTCCCCTTATTAGCACATAGCTACAAAATCAGAAATTTTGCCAACTTTTCCTGCTTGTTAAGGGCATGCTTCTATATCTCTTATTTACTTAACTCATTCCTTCACAAGGGAAGAGAAGCAACTTGTCCGATAGATGAGAGTCTGATAATCATTTGGCTCCACTTCTCTGTTGTTTAAAGTTTTAATAATCCCTGCACCAAAAAGACAACATATCTTTCTCTCTTTTGCTTTCTTGACTCACCCTGTTGTAGTCAGGATGGGCCTTTGCTTTCTGATCTCCATTGCAGGAAGCAGATTAGGAAGGCATTGCCTCTGGTAGATCCATCCAGATCTTTGTTCCAACTTCTCTATCGGTGACTAGAAGTAATTCAGGTCACTTCTTCCCTGAGATTTGGATAACTTTGACTTAGTGTAAGAGGTAGTAAGATGTATGTTCAATAGCCTCAGTACTAAGACAGTACTATACTTTACTAATTGGGTCTCCATCTGCAAAAGTAGTACCTTGATCACCATTTAGTTCCCTAAATGTCTGCCCTAATCAGATAATGCAATGAATAACTGACACCATGACCTTGAGCAGAGCCCTTTTAAAATCACTTCACAGTTGTTACTGGCTTCCTGTTCCCCTCC